CTTTACCCTAGTGGGACTTCTAATGACAGTGATTTCGTAAGCATGTGTCACGGGTCTTCTCAGTATATCAACTGCTGTGGGACGTGGTAGCATGTGCCACTGTATCCGCTATCCTGGAGGCTGCCACGAGCTGTGGACTTCGTGAACAACCACTTCATGACTCACTCTGGAAGTTTTCACCAAAATATTTAAGCGGTTGGTTGACTGACTCTACACCGATACGCTTGTGCCTGTTAATCCCGCGTTCACCTAGACTTGATAGATTCATTCCTATTGGGTTGAACAACGTCTGCCGAGCGGTTCTAGTGTAGTACAGACGGCACACATCACATGCCCTACTCGACTCATTACAATGGCGCGATTCAGACGTACTCAGAAACAAACAGGTTCTTCGGTAATCTTTGGGACCCGGCTCAAGGAACGGCTACGCTGTATGTTTCAATGAGTTTTCTGCGGTAAATGAAATCGGTAGCAACCTATTTAAACTAACCGTTCTTGTAAGTCTCCGTGGTTCTACGAGCCGATACGAAGCTCAGTCATGTTGGACCTACCGAACATTAAACCTCTTCGTGTCCACATAGTATAAGCCAAAGCCCCCCGCCATTGTACAGTTCAGTCAGCCGCCGATGAAATCATCCCAGCCAGACTTTGGAAATCGACATTTGAGCCTTCATAAACAAGTTCATTCAGCATCGCTTGGAAGTTGTAGTAAGAAATGATCGAACGCAGCGCTCCCTACAGTTCGTTGACTTTCAAAACTGTCTACGACCATTCGTTAGACGTGGAGTCTGTCGGGAAAATGCTACTCTACTGACAGCGAATACATTTGATGATATCAGTCGAACTGACAATAATCCTGTGGTATCCCGATCCACTTTTGTTTGCTACGATTCCAGACTACGATACAAGACTCCTGGTGAATGACGGCACTTCGAAACTCCTGCGGGGCTTGTGAAAATGTTTTGCAGGTCAACACCCACAAGTGCAGTTAATAATAAGTTAAATTAAATCGTTCAGCTGTAGCACCCTTTCGGTGCCTAGCTGCCATGCCACCCGAAGGCTGCACGAGGGTTGGAATACTGCCAGGTTGTTCAAGCCTAGACAGGGAAAGTCGAGAGGCAGAGCTCGGGTTCGAACCACGAACAAGTGCAACTGTAATGGACGTTAGCATAGTCTCGGATGGGTGTGGAGTGACTGTGGAATGAGAAGAAGCAGAAGTATGGTGCCGATGAATATTCCCTCGCCATAATCTCAGCCCTACATACCATCGGTTGTGATCTCGACTTTTTGGTTCACCAACCGATGATCATCTCTTATCGAGGGATCTGCTCTCCTCAATCCGCTAAGGCTGTTATTGGACTGGGACTTCCTAAGGTCGCAGTCAGTGACTTGTGTTTGCTTGCCATTGTGGGCTCTCTGTGTACTTATGACACTTTTATGCATGGCACCACGCGTTGAATATACATGTTTGCCATTTTATCTCACACCAGACCCAGTATAACGGACACTTTGTGCCTGATGTGCGAGTCTTGATTGTGCTAGTGCCTACCGCGCCTTGAAGAGCATTCACCATTGTTTGTCCTTTCTTCGGTTGTTGGTCTTTAGACGCGTGTTTCCATATCAAAATCTTTACATACTTTGGGATTCATCTCATCTGAATGGAACTGTTAGTGCCATGAATTCGAATGAGACGTTACTCTCTTTTCTCTCATATGCTCCTGTTGCCCTTTCGCATTCATGGCTTGCATTCACTCTTTATGTTTGTGACCATGCTCTTCAAAAATAAATGATACTAGCTGTAGTAAATATGAGTGCTAACAACCGATTCACCGGTTTGAAAACGCGTTCTATGTCGTATCCCGATTCGCCGATGCAATAAGTTAACGAACATCTGATTCCGTTGCGATGCGGTCCCTCAATTTGAGCTGATACCTTATCTCCAACCTATCATCTATCACAACTAGAAATCCATTTATCTGACCTTTCTTTCCAGGCCAGTTGAATTAAATCCGGTGCAACCGTAATTGCATGAATTTGGCATAACAAAACGTTTGACAGCGATGTTCTAGATAGGTGTTTGGATGCAGTTACTTATCGTAGGAATGAATATCTATCTGAAGGTTGTCCACCTCGGAACAGAGGCCACCATGCGCCGTGCAAGTTGGCGTAGGCTCTCCTAACAAAAATGGTAGACTCAAATTTTCATCCAAGCATCCGAGTGTGCAGTTGATGAGTACTGGATACAGATGGTAAGATGATCCTCTATAGAAGTGCAGCTTTGTGCAACATTCTGGAGTTGCGGGAAAATGACAAACGAAGTTACGGCTACAGTACAGCTACCCGTGAATTGAACTGAGTCCGCCCAACAATGTTTTTGATGGTGCTACCTTTTGTTGTACGAACACCATCTGCATCGTGGTCGGTTTTTTTGTCTGGGGGGCTCCCATGCGTTTCAGTAGAAAAATTCAAGAACTGGAAATCCGTCCTTGAGCGGGGAGGGCTCGTAAATTTGATGACAAGGCTTACCACAGATGGGTTGGACACATGTCTACCAGTGATCGTTGTCGACCGAAGAAGCTAAACCCTTGGCGACAATCAGCGCCCATAGCGGATAACCTGTGTACGATCGTCTGCCAAGATTCAGGGAACAGGCAGAATCCTACAAACCTGTGCTCTAAAAAACTGACATCCAAAAGAACTTGGGTCACAGGAACAACCACGACCCAACAGTTAAGTGTCCTGATAGCTCCGCTGGACAGGCTGAATGGAAATTGAGTCGCGACTCCGTAGAGGAAATACATGTCAAGTGGATCTCTTGAGTTTATGAACCAGCCCAATAGTCAACGCGCCCTTTTGGTTGCATTAGCTAACACGCGTTTCCGTTACTGGTTTTTCAGGCGAGCTTTCGAGACTCATACAGGTCGTAAATGTTCAATTGGTATTCTTGAAGTGGATAAGCCCATCCAGCAGATTACATCACCACGGTTACTCTAACTCGCGGGCTATTCTTATCGCCTGCGATACTTGTCAGAAGAAACTATTGTGCTATATCCCGGTCACACTCTACGGGAGACCGAAATGGTGTATTTGATTACGTGGGTGCATGGTTTTGTAGAATTGAAACCATCACTAAGAACGGATCTTGGCGTAGCTAGTCTTCACAGATAGATCGAGCAAATTGTCCGAAGGTGTCATAAATCCACCACAGATCCATCGAGAGCACAGAATTAAACTAAGTGCCAAAGATGCCTATCTCTTATGAGACCGTGGTTCGCTGCCCTCAAACAGTACTGCGAAATGATACTACATGAACCAGGCTCGGACTAGTTGGGTAATGCAGGAATGAAGGTATACGTAGGGTGGTTTGGAATATATGAAGACATCAAAGCTAGAATTCGGTAGTCTGTGGAACAAAGCCATATCATCAGCTACACCCATCTCACCTTTGCCACGGCCGTCATTTTGGTTACTGTGGACCCTGGTGGTAGAATGATGTAGTCGGCGCGCTTTTCGAAAATGGATTGAGTCACGGACAGCAACGTTTACGTCAAGCATGCCAGCAATCGACCGAGAAACACTTGCGTCACATGGAGTTCCCGTCGCACTCGCATATGAAAATAGTGCCGCATTCGCTACTGAGGTGGCCTCTGCATAACAGCATATATGTTGACCACATTACCGCCTCATTTCCAGTGGGAGAAATCCGTCGTGACTGTGAAAGTGGAGTTATCGAAGCGAAATCCCTAGGCAGTTGCGCTTATACAAATTATCGGCACAATATCGAATAACTCCGCAGAGCACAACAGGCATCATTGATGAGACACCCATTGATCTTCGCCCTGCCGGAAAGCGAAATTCAGCCGACAACCGGGTTCAAGTCTACGGAATGCTTCTATCCGATGTCGAAAACATGCTTAGCTTTTTCATACAGGGTGACTATACTCTGCAACGGAATCCAATATCTTTCATCATCAATCACTTGATGGATTCTAGCCATGAGATGGGTATCAACGCAGCTGCTAAACTGATTACAACGTCTAGAAAACCTCATTTGTTAATTTTTCTCGAACCGTTGATGATTGCGTGTACCGGGCCGAGTACAAGTGCCCAGAAAAGGCCTGAGCTTAACGTCTCATCTACTTTGGCCTGCATGAACACGGCTTGCACTGCACCTGTTCTTCTCGGTATCGATCTGTACATTCGTTCAGTCCGTCAACTGTGTGACACATTGAAATTGAAAATATCATGCCGATATTCACATGTCCGCTTTGTTAATCATATCTAGAAGAACAAGCTATCGTGTACTGATCTAGCCGCTAGTCCATACTCCTTTGGCGGGATTGAAGAGATATCGTGGCACAGAGGTGAGCGTTTATGCTATCAGTTTCCGTCCAAATTGGCTGACCGGTGGTGTTATAGATACCTCACGTGTTTGTGGCCTGACCGCCCTAAGTTCCCCTTCTTTTTAGTTGCAAGTCTTTCTTCAAACAAGTTGTACGGCAGTGAAGCACCAGTGTTCCTCCTTCTTGTCACCCTCGACGTTCATGACAGTTAAAAGTTATTTAAGTAGCATTGCCTAGGGAAATAACTTGAGGACAGAAACCGTGTGTTTGGGGGCTGTAATTGTGTACAACTCCTGGAGACAGGAAGAACGATTTCTCGTGTCTACTTTTTCTGCCTGCATGTATGTTACAGTTGCGTAGAATGCATTCACATGGGTGTTTTGGGCTACATTCTCGAAATGGTACGTTTGTCTTGACAATAATTGTTACTTTTCAAGTAAACAGTTTAGTGTTGTCGGTAAGTATCTCCTCTTTTTGTCTGAGGTAGTCCTCGTCCCGTAGTTCACACCTTAGGTAGCCGGTGATCAGAGTGTTTTCCAGGGTGACACAACAGATCACGCGACCTTACAAGGCAAGCAATATATTTTAGGCAATCAGTTATTGACTCTAGAACCATGGTCAGGCCTTCCCCGCCAATCTTTCCTTTTTCGCCAATAGAAACGGGAAAAGAGACGATCTCATGTAAAGCTTGTCGACTATGATGTACTGGATCAGCATTCGTGGCTTGAATCTCCACCGACAATAAAATCCAAAGATCCCAAGCCTCCTGTGGACGCAGTGATGTCTTCACACTCCAGTCCCAATCGGAGCATGTCCTCTCCGTTCAATATCCACGACACGGCTACGCACAACAAAATGGATGTTTTCCAAGACGCGTCTGGGGCAAAGAAGGCCCACCTGATATCCCAGTTGGCCGAGTTCGAACTAGCCTGTCAGCAGCTGGAAAAAGAGTTGGACTTTTCCCGAACAACGTGTACAATAATCTACGATCCGGTCAGCTCTCCTCGTGTCGTGTCTCTGGTGCAGGCTACTTCCGAGGACTCCGACTCTATGGAACAACAAGAAAGTTAAGGTAAGTTGCTACTCACGGTAAATTGACTCTGGTTGAACCGAGTTGATGTCGAGGACCCTTGCTTCGTATTGAATTTAGGGCGTACTAAGTGTTTGGCCATAAGGTCAGGTCATCATCACAGAGCTGTGATATGTGTTGTAGCCAGTACTGTTTGCACAAATTTGTTCAGCCATCAGCACAAACTTTCCTGTCCAGAAGAGTCAGATTTTCACTGCCTCTTGTGGCATGGACAAAAACTAGTAGAGTGATCAGTCTGAGACATATGAGGGTTCCCAAAATAATTAGTGCCGGTCAGCTGATGGATGTACGTGGGTTTGGTGTCGTCCAACGCTCTCAAATGTCTTTGAGCGAGCACCGGTTGGTTCAGCAATCACTACTTATTTGCTAGTTATGGGAGTTGGGCTACACAAGAGAATAATTGCTTCATGGGCACTGTGTACGTAAACAGACACATGCAGTGACTCTCATCTACAAAAAAACAAGACTTGCTTTTTTGGTGGTCTGTCAGTTTGAAATGCCTTCGTGCAAGGATTTTTCACGTCAGAACTATATTCAGGAAGACTGTCGACCCTAACCAACGTTGCAGATTTGTTGTGTCACTCAACAACGAATCGCTCTACAAATGAGTTGCACATGAACTAGTGTTGATTTCCTCGTTTCGTTTCCGTCTTGCAATCATACTTCTTAGTGCTACAACTTCATGTCGTTCTGTCTGGAAGGGTCTACTATGTCCCCTTTTGACATCCTACCAGCATTATTTTCGAAATCCTCTCTTCATCTTTCCACATTTGCCCTTCACAGAATCCTCAAGTATGCTATCACACAAAGGTAAGATTGCTGTTTTTGATATGCTTATTTTGAATATTCAATATCAGCAACGACACATGCTTTAAACGAACTGACCAGACCCATTCGATCGTCTGGAGGTTGGTTGGTAATGTGGTGAAATATTGGTAGCTCGGGTGAGTTTATTGGTTGTTGATCAGGTGGCTGTTGATCTGTTCGCCGAGCTTGGCGCTTGGCTCGCAAACGTTTCGTCACCATACAAGGAGACATCATCAGTGCGCAGTTGGGTGGGTGCTTCTTCCTTGCCTGCGTGTGGTTATATAGCAGTCGAAGGCTATCTGTTATCTTCTGACGTGATTGGCCACTTGAAGTGTAACGAATTTAGTGAATCTGTTGGTCCGTTTGTGATCTTTGTTGCGCTGTGGTCTGTGTTTCTTTGTGTTGATTAGTTATTCCAGTGCCTTGTAATTTTAGTAGCTTGTTCTCTCTGGCCTTGATTTGCATTGCGTTGTGGTCTGCCGTTCTCTAATTTGATTGGTTGCTTGTACCGCCCTATTTCCTCCACCGTGGCGGTTAGTGTCCCTGCGTCCGCCGGTTGATTTGGTGCCTGGGTTGGGTGCCTCCTCCAATCTAATTGATGTGTCCGTTTGAACGATGCTTTCCTGCTTCTCCTATGAGTTCCTCGTCTGGTCGCTTTTGCAGCTCTAAGCTCTGTGGTTCTGGCGTTCTCTCGCTCTTAGTGGCCGGTGAATGGGATAGATCCCGATGTGTTTGTTGATGGCTTCTTCGGTGGAGTGGTGGTCTAATGGATGAAACTGTCAAAACATCTTCGGAATCATTTCCCACACTGCTTTCACTTTTACCATAGAGATTTCAGGAAAGTATGCCCATCATATGCCTCGGTCAGTCATTCCAACACCGGTTGTAGGATTCCGTGTGGTCTCCGCACCTTTCTGTAGCTTCTGTATAAATAAGTTGAATTTGTCGATTGATTCACATATCTTGGCGGCTCCGTAAGTCGTGATTGTTCCATGGCAAATAATGCCACCGCGCGGATAGTTAAAGTGCGGGCAGCATTCGACAACCTGTATCACTTCTGGAGTGAGTGCAAGTTAAAGAATCGTGTATACAGAACAACTGCAAGGCGGGTTTTACTTTATGGTCCGAGAAAACCAGGCTTCAACCAGTACGCAACAAGGGGATGTTTGATCGGAACTTTGTAATGAGTCAGAATCGTCACTAGGTTACTGTGCTTGGAGCCTATGTTACGTAAGACCAATCACTCTATATCCAAGAAGGTATTGTCTTTCGTTTCGATCTCTTGTTAGTGAACAGTTTGCTGGGGACATGGTATGACATGACAAGATGAAATGAAACCCACTGCAGTCACACTGTGTTGTGGGATTCCGCACTGTCCATACTGGAACAACCTGCTTCTGCTTGTACGCGGCTAGAAACCCCGCAGGATGTGGAAAACAAGTTTTCCCAGGGTTGCACCCTATCATTTCCTAGCCAGACCACGTAGCTGAAGTTTGCTTCTCGTTGCGCGTTGAACTTTTGTCGGATAAAGTTCTCAAACTTCGTAGCTGGCACCTTAGCTTGTCGTGGTTCCCAGATATGCTGTCTCAAGATATAGGCGTCTTATTTAGTCTCCTTTCCACTCCACTAAGGATTTATTTTCTCACGGTTGTATGGCAAATAATCACCGTTGTTTATTACTTATGTGTTTTTGTCAATGATGATGATGGTGAAACTAACTTTTCCATTCGAATTCCTACAGTTTATAGCAAAATATTTCTATCTGTATTGTCCAACTTGAATCTGTTGCTTCCTGTGTTCCTGATTAGTCCTACGAGCTGAGCCAGGACATCTGGGTACCTTAAGAAGTGCCGCTACTCAGTTGAGCTAATGTAGCCTTTGTTATTTATTTGTCATCTTGAAAGTTGCTTTTCCAGGAAATTATGGTGTTGTGAACACGCATAGTACTACCTAGTCATCGACTTGCACTTCATTCTTGATGTGCTTGTAATGCACTCATTATCGGCTTCTTTCTGCTGCTACTAGAACGTTCCGTTTTGCAAATGGTTGCAGTATGCTTTACACTATGTGGCTTCGGTATCGAAACTCGATGTAACCATTGATTCATTTACAGCGGATTTTCTCGTTTGAGGAAAAATTTTGCCCGTACTTCTGGTTCACCAAGTATCTTCAACCGTTATTAGACAAATCGACCCGGCGCTCACAGTCCCGCCCAACCCACAACGGAGTCTGACTCCACTGAGAATGACTTCTTGACCTTTATTTTGTACATAAAACCCCCTTCACTTGTTCAGCGCCTTATAGAGTCGACGTTTTTGTAAATTTCCCTTCTGCTTATGGCATGTGCGATTTTGTTCAAATTGCCAGATGTTTGTTTGATAATCCAGACAAGCAGCATAGTGATGAGTAGACTCCTCAATTCAACAATTGATGATAAGATGCGACCTTTGTAAGCCCTCTGTAACGGTCCTTTGTGAGTAGATAAAAAATAATCAGTCAGCTGTAACACCCTTTCGACGCCTAGCTACCATGCCACGCGAAGTAAGCACGTGGGCTGGGATACTGCCAGGTTGCCCAAGCCTAGACAGGGGAAGTCGAGAGGCAGAGGTCGGGTTCGAACCGCGGACTTCGGGTCAGTAAATCCGCACTCTAACCACTTGAGCCATCTCGCCCCCTTTGTGAATAGTCTGGGTGGTTGATTGTTTTATCCAGAGCTGATGGTGCCACGGACTTGTCCTACAAACATTATCCAGCTCGTTTTAAAGCATCGGTGCCTTCTTTCAATGCGGTTTCCGAAGGCGAGGGCGGAAATGGTACCTCCTAAATCTCTTTTAGAGATTATGGGAGTGGCGAGCAATTGAACCCGAGTCTTTCACGTCTATTCTAGTGGGTTCGACGAAATTAGACACGCGAAGCCTAACAGTTCAACGTTTATTCATGCAATTCACGGCAAGTGTTTTTCAATGGAGGTTTTGTCCTCTAAGTTAAAGCGGTCTGTGCCGAAAAGCACTGTGCACTTGTTTCGTCCTCAATGCGAATCATCTCCATTGCACACCTAACGAAACTGCTCTGAATAATATCCGAAGAAAGAGCAATACTAGAAGAGTGATTAACAGAGTTGTTTGTGTACTTAAAAACGTCAACGAGTGGACTGAGTAGATGTGAGTGAAAGGAGACAGACACACGGAAGCGCACATGCATATGGACGGTGTGGTACATGAATATGTTGGTTTACTCAACCACAAAAACTGGAGGGCATGGAAAAATGGGGTGTTCGGGACTTGGAGGCAGAGAGAAGTGTGTGCGAGTTTCTGTTGATAAGCGGCGTTGGATGTGGGTGGCAGCAGTCGGTGAGGATGTCTGGTCAGGGCGTTAAACTAGAACAACGAAAATAAATATAAAAGAAGTTGTTAAGCCGTAGCACCCTTTCGATGCCTAACTGCCATGCCACCCGAAGGTTGCAAGGGGGCTGGGATACTGCCAGGTTGCCCAAGGCTAGACAGGGGAAGTCGAGCGGCAGAAGTCGGGTCAGTAACTTCGCGCTCTAACCACATGAACCATCTCGGGATGCGAAATCATCAGCCTCGATGCCATTGTTATCTTTAATTAGCGACTATTTCTTGTAGTCCGAAGCGCAGGTCATCTGTCAGCCCTCCGTTTTCCCTTCGTCTCCCGAACAACCGCATTTCTACTACTCTTTGTATATGAAGTGCATGGTCTCGCCACACGCTGTGGAAAACATTTGCGGTGGTTGTCAGGCCAAACAAGCCTTGGGCAAACACGGATGGATTCATCACGAATGTCGGCGTTTGACAGACCGTAGCACTCATTCTGCTAGGCACCACCGGGCACCGAGATTCCAACGACGCATCACACTGAACAGCTCCACCATTGTTAGGAGGCACGGGCTGTACGCATAGGGACACGGATGGCGAAGCAACAAGGACCTTCAGGTGATCATCCATTATGGTGAAAAACCAAACCGGCTTGAGCGATGGATTCTTTAACTTTGTTGAGGGTAGCCATCTTTGTCTAAACTCGAGGATGGTTGGAAGGCGCCTGCTATGTAAGAAGCTAGGTGTAGATCAACGGATCGGTTCAAAAGGGCAAGGAACCGCCGAATCGTGGTAACGGGTAACGAAGGTTCGCGAATCGCGGCGAATCCATCATTTACAGACCTGATGACATCAGAATCAGTTTCATGGAAGAAGAAAGGACGATTATTGGCACTCTTGGCGTTTCCCGTGAACTTGTGCAAGAGTAGGGGTGGCAAGTACGGAGTCTCTAGGCTTCGAATGCTTCAGCACCATTGCTTGTCGTGTTGTCTTGCGGCGTACCAGATCTGCAGCTCGTTGACATGCACAGCTTTCGTTCAGACCGGTCTTTGTACTGTCTGTAGCTAAGGCATTCCTTGACACACCGGTCATCCAAAATGTTCAAAAGCAGGACGCTCGGGTGAATTGTACCAGTTTGCCACCATTCGGGAACCCCAGGCTTAATTTGAACCTCTCCCATGAATTTTGATGACTTGTCATCAAAGTACACGGCTCCAAGGTAACCCACGCTGACATTTGTTAGGTCATCGTTTTCTGCACCTGAGCGGACTTGCGTAAGATTGCTGAAACCTCTGTTCTTTATCCACACGCGCCAAATTTACGTCATAGTCAGTGAGGCCGAGCAACGCGGACACCTCTACAACCCTTAGAAATCCACGGCCCAAAACTAAAATACGAAACCGGCGGTTTAAAACCTTTTCCGGATCTTCACCTGAAACCGTGAAAGTTGATTACTAGGTCGTACGGGCTCTAGAAGAGCCAGTATTTTGATAGGCAAGGACGTGTGTTAAACTATATGGAGACTGGCCGCTGTTTATAGCAGTTTGGAGTCTGAGCAGCCCTCCGGTGTTGTTGCATTGGCTTCTAGGAACCCCAAGCAGACGATCAGTGTGACAATACCAGTATGCAACATTCTCTGAGCCACATCGAAATTCACTGTGATAGTTTGCTCCGATAGCTGGCCATTGTGATTTAGATGTATGGACTGCGATCTTGAAACTCTGGTGGCTCCCAAGGCTCGAATACCGAACGTGCTCAGGAATGCTCGTCTCGCACTCTGCCTCCAATGGGGCTAAATTTTGCAGTAACCTGTGTACTCCAGAAGTGGCTTCGGTGGGTTGCGTCGTTTTAGCAGCCTGGGGTTCATGCAGCCAAGTCATTTACACCGTCAAACCGTTCGGCATAGGATGGCGGATTAGAAGGGTTTTCCGAATTGTTTCATAAAGTGATGTGTCTTGGGCTCGCAGCCTTTTGTGACCACTCCGTCGGAGACCCCAGTCCTAAATACGTCAATCGGGAACCTAACACATTGGCCGCTTCCTCACCATTGGCGACGTGTTCGTTTCGTCTTACTCATGAAATCTCTGCCCCTCAGACCTCGCCGCGTCTTATATGACTTGCAGCGGCTTCCTTACCGTAGCGCTTAGCACATGAGAGGTAATGGTTCTGGGTGAGCGCACTAGCTGAAATTCGGCTCCCTAAGTTTACGATGTGCCGGAAAAGCCGAAGTAGTCCAGCCTCTGCGAGCAGCACTGCGATATATCATGTTGTGAGATAGCCCCAGGGAGTGGAAACGATAAACCACAGTGACCACAAATTCCAATTGCCAAAAAGTGAACCGCATCATCTAATTTTTCAAAGCGGTTTAAATACACCTAACTGTCTATCCAATAGTAGTCAAGCATTGCTCACTACGCATCTATTGTGAACGGTTATATCATACCAGGTTGTATGCCCCCACAAGTTGGGAATAAACATTATTATTACAGGAGTGAAAGGTATGCCTTCTGGGAGGATCAAGCCCATGCAGCAAAGCCGAGGAACTGGTTGCCTCAACGGCTGCACACATGGTCAATTAGGAGTATTCTGGAATACTCTGCCTTAAGATTGGGGTCTTTGATTCAGAGGTAGAGGAATTTTCCTGCGGACGTAACCTGTTTCCACTTCCTTGTGAATCGTGATTCCCGACCAAGGTCTCAACTTATGGAGGCTCAGCCAAACTCCACACTTTGGGCTGGTCAACTGGGGAAGCATCAGTTCCCCTTAAACCCGTTTATTCACCGATTTCCCCATAAGCCCCGAAATTAGTCCTCCCGGTTTTTCAACCTTCAATTGGTCGACCGTTATTGTGTATCTGAAACATCTCCCCAGTACATCGTTGGCTTATAAAATTCAAAGAATTTGTTCTACACTGCGGCATTCAACATCCAGGCGGGCATCATATGCCAATGTTCTGTATACTCTTTTGATAGATGTGTGCAATGTGTTCGAAACGCAGGAGAACGATACCAGTAATAAGACTGTTGTTTAAGGAGTCCCCTTAAAACGCGAGTAGTGATGGGCCACTTGCCAGCAGCTTTTGCCTTGCAGGGTTTTAGGAAGCATTTGGGACGCAGAGCAGCCGTACACTATTCCAGCTAACCTAGTCATTTTATTTGTAGAAGACTGATCACAAAGGAGCGAGATTCTAAGAGGATATAAGCCCATGTCTTTCAGGGAAAGTCCTCCTAAAAATAAACAGAAAAATTTTACGCGCCTTCTTGCTCCCCTTCGCTAACTTATTCTTTCAAACAATCACATGATCTAAGCGGAATACCCACAGCACGTCTCTATCGAAGGTGAAATTCTAGCATGTAGTTGCCATGCTTCAGCGCAAAAGCACCGGTTCAGACGGTCTACCCTCTGCATTCTATGAAGAAGGTTATAAGTTTACAGTGACTACCGTGCCAAACTTACTCTAAATTATACGCGTTCAAGTAAACACCAGCAGAAGAGAGCGATTAAAACCTAAAAAGAGCGTAATTGCATCGGGTAATGGCAACCACTCTAGTGAGCAAACTTGTATGCCGCTTTGTGATATCGTCGTGCGCACGCCTGCCTCTTGTTCGGTGAACCAGGTTAGCCGGATCTTGTTTGTCCTGGCTACGCCTTTGTGTAAAGTTTCGTATTCGGCGATCAAAAATTTTATTTTGCCTCATCTGAAGGCTGAATTTGATCCCTATAAATGTGCATCTGTTAATTATTAAAGAGCGGCCACAAAAATGCGGCGGATAAAGTGAGGCTGGCATATTGCTAGGCCTACGGCGTCAGCATATGTCGGCCTCCTTCGTGGCAATCATCCAACAGTCTTGAAAGAGATGAAGCAAGTGGGAAAAATGTTTCTGCTCTGAGAACGTGGGGGCCATGATTTCAGGCCAACGTCATTGAGAGAGTTCGTCGTTCGCCCAGTTTAACGAACAAACAATAATCCAGTTTTGATTGTCAATGGTCTTCTGAGCATTTCCCACAAATAATAGATTTTGGAAATAGTCTGACATGTTTTAACACCAGATTTACCACGCGGGACTCACGAGCGACCGCTGTAAGCGCGAGCGCAAACAGAAGCGAGAGTCGGACCACGTTTATATTGCGTGAAATTGTGGAAGTGCGGTTTTTTTGTGGTTTTTCGTATTCAAACAAAAAAACGCTTACGCAATGGACGAAATGCGTAACGTTATAATGGATGCAAAATAAAGGTACTCAACATCACCAGGCTTTTCGACCCATGTTTCATTAAACACGTCGTTGTTTTCAGGCCAGCGGTAGCCTCACAAAAGTTCGAATAAGTCAAACGAGAAAATTCATCGTGACCGACCAGACTCTGGTGGATGGGAATGATCTCTCGTGAACTAAAGTGCTTTGAGACTTCCATTCTGTAGCGAAAAACGTCTACATCCACTGTTTTTCTGCATATTTCTATGGGTCATTTGTTTAAGTGAACAACTTTTCAAGGTCGACAAACAACTCCAGTTGGAAAAAGAGTACCGAGTGAGACATACCATCTCTACTTTCCAGGAAGCGTCACTCGCCTGGAATGACCGGAAAGTACAGGTGGCTCTGCAGCTATAATAATAGCTATAAAAACATAGCTGATGCTTAGGAATAGCTTGCGGTTAGGGGTGGAAGATGCCCAACCAGCTGATTATATTCAATATACATCAACCATACAAGGAGGAAAAATAAACCTGGTTCATTTACAAGACTGACACCTGTCTAGAGGTCGACGATTCCTAATCAGCTGGTGACGGGTGGCCTTTATCAATCGTAGCTGATAGCTCTAATAAAAAGTGCCTCTCCGTCTCAACTAGGAAAAATCAATGGTCCAGCTTGGACTAGATCACAAGCTGGTTTTTATTAGGTGTTTTGATGGATGCATACGTCCTGCCAGGGAAGGCACAGCTGTCCCAACGGGTATGGTGAAGTAAGTGATTGACGTACTGAAAACGACAGAAAGTTTTAGTAAGTTAATTGAAATATCCCTACGAGGTTTGTGGCTGGTAACATATTGGTTGCAGCTCTGACACTATAAAGTGAGCACTTTGATGGCGGCACTTTGATGATTGGGACCGTGCGTACACAGGATTATCTGAATGTGCTGACTCATATTGGACTGTCTCTTATAGCTGATGTCTACTTAGCAACAGGCCCCAAGAAATCCGAGACTTAGCTGAAGTTGGTGATGCCTCAGCAACCGACGAACAGAGTGGAAGCATGTCGGCAGTGAAGCTGGAAGTAAACTTATCACCCAGCTAGATGAAAAATAGTCGCTACCTCATTGAAACAACGGGTGTGACCACCCCTTCACCCACATACATGACAGTACAGCTCAACGCCACTCACTCGTCAATCACAAATCACGCCACACAAAGTAACTCACTTGACTAGACAGCTCACAGTCTCTCCATAGATCACAGGATTCGCGTTTTCCCTTACACTTACAAATCAGGACACACTGGGAGCATGGCGTCAACCACACTCCACAATTCCACAGACAATCACGGAACACGCGTAGCAGTTAAACTGGGGAGAAAACAAGTTCCCGCTTTCAGGTCCGGGCTTTCATCAAGGGACTCACAAATGATGAGTTCCCA